GATGATTGAGATGAATGTAATCGCAAAAGTGACGTTGTAATGTGTGTGCATTATATCCCATAACGTAAGATGATGGAAAATATTTCTTTGTATTATCTAATTATAACACAAAAAAAACAGCCTTTATTACCTTTATTCAGTTAGTATCTTAAGCATTATCACATTAATAAATTCAAATATTGTCTTTATTCTATCTCATCAGTTATAAAAGTACGATTTGCATCACGATATTTTTCCAAACGTTGGAAATACTGAAGAACTCAATGTTCGAGGTCGAACATTCCATTACAGTTCCATTATCCAATCATTGTATGAATATTATAGCGGCAGTACAGATAGAGAAGGGATATCAAGATATCGCAATTACATGCAATCTCATTCAGTGATTAAATCTTGACTCAAGAGGAATAGAAGTTTCTGTAACTGTTCTCTGTTCCAGAATTTATAAGAAACACTATTCTGTTGCATATTTTATTGTATTACATTATTCAAAATATGATTCGAATTTAAATCGCAAAGGATTAATCATATGTGTAGTAAATATCGAGGACACAATATTTAAATCGAATGTCAACGGTATTAATAAGAAATTTTAGTGTTGCAGTAATATTTACTTAAAAAACGGTAAGTACTGAAAACTCATATATTTTAAATATATATATATAATTTGTATTTGTTCAGGAGGCATAGAATTCTATTTATTACGAATTTATGTACTACTATATATGTAAAACATTTTAAATACGAAAAACATTTTAAAAAATTACAATGGTTATATATAAAAAAATGAAACTAGATCTGATAAATAATAATTTTTGTTAAACTGGTATTAACTCAAAATTTATTAGAATTTTCAATTTACACACATACACACACATACATACAATACGTATATATTATAATATAATCAATGCTAAGTCCCTGACTGTTATCTTTGCCTATACAGCACTAGTTATTGTGGAAAATTTTCAGAGATGTTTCCAGTTTTCTCATGTGCAATAGTTCTGAAAGGATTCTACAATATGTCATATAAAATGTTTTAACAGAAGTATTTCTAAAATCTATCATGTTAGAAAAATTTGAATGTTACGATTCTTTTAAAAGTTAACAGAGATAAAAGGGCTCGAGGGAATAAGCGCTATTTAAGATGAGCAATTTGTTCAAGAATATCTCTCAATATTCTAATTAAATTTGTTGAAGAGACCATAGAACAAATATAATCGTTAAAACGATAATTTTCTAAACTCATTTTGTAAGACATTTTTCTTTCAACAGCAACAAAAAAATTCTCTTGTCATTTTTCAATATCTCTTTTCGTTTTCGAGTTTTAATTAAAAAACAAAAAAAAAACGTTATTGTTTAATCAGTTCCAAGTGCCTCCTTTAATGTTGTAGCACTTTTAAATTTAGTCTTTTTATACCTCAGACTGTCGATTAAAACAATGAAGTACTTGTAAATAATTTCTTCCTTTTTAAAACCTCTAGCGACTGGCCCATATGCAATAAATTGAAAAACATATTTAAACAGAACAAAAAAAGTATCATAAAGTTGAAATTCAAAATGTTTACTAAAAGTCATCTTTTTTGGTCAATTACGATTCAATTTAACGTTATTTTAACGTTAACGTGAATTGTTCTACTAAAGATATATTAATCCCTGCTAAGAAAATTAAATTTGAAAGTATATTTAATATTTACACTTCAAATAAACTATATACGTATATAACTATATACATATAAAAATTATGTGAATAAGATAATATTTTTGTTTTATGACACATTTGTACAGTTTATTTATTTTATTTGTTATTATTTTTATTGATAAAAATAAAAATTTAAAAAATTTTTTAAAAATTTACATTTCTTTTTATAAGTACTTTAAATATTAAAAATAATTTATGCAAAGTTTCATTGCGATTTACTGATTATTTACAAAGATACAG